TAGTGCAGCGATATTTTTGCGAAATTGATATTTGCTGTTCATAGCTTGATTTCAGTAACTGAACAAATATTGTTTTTCCTTACCACACTAACATAGGCTAAAATATAGACATGGTAAAAAAATTGCAACTAATTGACTATTTTAACTAATTAAGAAAAAAAAACTAATTAAACAAATTATAATTCTTTAGTTCTTGAGGTTGCTCTCCCCTAAAATTTTTTGATATCCTCAAGGGTATTTGATTGAACAAGTATTATAAACTAATTCGAAATGATACCTTATCCATTTTCTCCTTCAATCTACAATGAGTTCTTAAGATCAAGAATACAAAAGCTAAGATTTTCTCGTGATGATGAGATGGATATGTTTGCTGACACAAAAGATCCACCAATGCGATGGGGTCTTATGTGACAGATTCTTTCCCCAAGGAAATAGGTAAAATACCTCAATTCAACCTCACTATGCTGCAACCACCACCATTCTAGACACCCACATCTTCACTTCTCTACTTAGCAACCGCCAGACTTCCCAAATCTTCAACTTTCTGTTAACTTATGTTGAAGATAAATAGGTTGCATCCATTGACACATTGGTATCATTATTCTCTCATCAATATGTTTACTGAAAAATCTAACCTCCTTGGATACATAACGGAGAGAAACAAATCTAGCAAGTGTTCATAGAGTAGAATTCCATTAACAATTAGGTATCAGTTGTAAAGTACCCACCACTTTTATGAGTAAGAGGTAATATAAAGAAAAGTGTTATTTCCCACAAGATAAGCTATTTTTTTTATGTTGATTATTATACCAACCACTTGACAAGGAACTTTTCTCTAACATATAACTTCCTATTCAAGTCATAGTGATTGATAATAAGTTCACTATTCTCAACCACCAAAAACTTCATATAATCACAACAACCCCCTTTCCTCTAGTCAATGTCAATTGTGATGATGATATAAGAAAAAATATGAGTTCATTTGTCTACTGAAAATAAAGTTATGTTTATGTGGAAAAATATTTATAAGAATTTTGTGGTTTAGGACAATGTAGTAATGTAAGAGTGATTTGAGAGAGGGTTGACTTGAGATGATGGTGAAACATTGTTTGAAATCCTATGTTTGAGAATGTCAGTTGACATGCCCAGTTAATTTTCATTGCATTTTTTGCCTTGGCATACAGGGTTGGCATGTTTCATTCCAAATCTTGCTTGTTGTATAGATATGTCAAGTTTGCTATTGTTGTTGTGCAGGTGTTTAAAATTTGAATGTTCGTACTTTGAGATGTTTCAGTCATTAGCCTCTCTCTTTCCTGTGGTGTGCGTTGTACGTGTGTTGAGGTTAACTGCAATGATTAGGATTTTTAATTGTAGCTGACAGTTTGGAGTTGATGTGGTGTTTCGGAAGCTTTTCATGATAATTATCTGTTGTTGTTTGAAAATTCACTTGTGGTTAGATCCTTCAGTTAGGGATGCAAACCCATTTGGGTATACTCCACTCTGTAACCCGGTATTGTCTGGGTTGATTTGGTGCTGAACCATCAGCCAATGGGCATTCTAAATTGCTAATTCTTATTTTCCTTCTGTGTCCGTATCCTCTTCTTCTTCTTCTTCGTTCCAACTTAGTTTTAGGCATGGCAGACACAGTTGTTGCCAGCATTACTTAAGAGGTTTCTAAAAGGTGACAACATTGTGACCTAGATCACTTGCACTCTATAAGATGTGAGCTGGATGCAATCATTTGTGCGTACATGGTCCCTGGGCACCATATCTTTCACTTACATCGGCAGGGAGGGAGTGAAAGATATGGTAAGCAATAGAGATGGTCCCTTGGTGCATTCTTTCCTAGTCTAGTTTCTTGAGTATTGCCATAGTTGTGCTTTGATGAGTTCTAATGCCCCTGAGTTTTTAATCAGTTTTTTTCTTCTTTTGCAATCAGAAGGACCTCAATTGGAGTGTATGTTCTTTCGTTGTTGTTCCACATGCAACAGTGAATTTTGTTTTTGGTATATTAATCTAAGTAATGGCCATCACCTACTCGTTGGTCATCTGAATTTCATGAAGATGTGGAAATAGAGTTTCTTTTTCTGTTGGAGGGTCCAAATGGGATTTCTCTCTTTGTCGTATCTGGAGACTGCTGAATTGATGAATGTTATGCCAGTCCTTGAGCCACAAGATAACAACACCATCACTATTCTTTCAAACAAACAACAAGATCTTAATGACCCCTTGACTCTTGTAAATCTTTTTTAGTCTGGATTCAAGGTGGAGGGGTAATTTGAGTCTCCATGTTGCCTCTTCTCCCTGTTTTGTTTTGTTTGTGCTTCCCTATCGTGTTAATTTACTTATTTCTGGATTTTTTAGCTATGAATTTGAAGGCTTCCTATCCTATGGCCAATCTTCGTAAGACATGGGCCAGGGGGAAAGGGAAACTGGCGGCTATCCCTTGGGAGAAGAGGATGAAATTGGTAGGTCCAATCATATGTTAGCCACAGTAGAAAGACTAAAGTGCCTCCCCACATGGCTTTTTTTGCATGGGAAGCTTGCTGGAATAAAATTTCAACCATTGACAGATTGAAATCCAAAGGCCGGGTTTTTGTAAATGGCTGTTATTGTTGTCTTACGGCAGATGAAACGTGTAACCATCTCTTATTGTGGTGTCCTACAACTTATAGTTTATGGTGCATGATTTATGGTCTTCTTGGGTTTGAGTGGGTCATTGTGGGTTCAGTTAGGGAGAGGTTTGGGCGTGGGAGGGTTTACTTGTAAAAAGAAATATTGCAAACATTATCACATTAACTGTTTTCCGGGTCATTTGGAAAGAGAGGAATATGAGAGCTTTTGATAGTGTTCAGAGTAGGTTAAATAGATTAAAAGATAGATGGATGCATACCTTTGGTCAGTATTGTTAGATCATGACATTAATAATGATGTGGATTTTAAAAATATCATTGATATGCTAACATTTTGTAATCACTTTTGTACATGGGCGGTACCCCCATTCTTTTGGTACCGATAATGTTAGTACATACTTTATACTTTTTATTCAGAAAGAAAATAGTAGCCACAGTAGGAGACTTTCTCTCTGTCAGCTTTTCTCTCTTATTCTCCTCTATTTCTTCCTCATCTTCCTCTTTACTGTCCTTTCTTTTCCTCTCAGAGGTTCATATTCCAGGAACCTGACTAGAACATCAATCAATAAAAAGTTTCTATTATTTTTAGGCAAGTAAAGCTTGAGCTTTAGCGAAGTGCTCCTTGAGCTTGTATTCATTGAGTGGCCTCATAATGAATATTGTTCTAGAGACAATTATCCCGTGGGTGCTGTATTTAAGGGATTCCTGCAAAATTCAAGGCAACATAAGGTTATTTTTAATATTTCTTACTTGAGGGGGAAACTAGATAGAGTTTCAGACTGACTTATGTCTAAATATGCATCTTCCAATCTTTCTCCAACATATATCTCTATACTTTCGTGTATATCTAATTTGTTTAGTTTTAGGCTTTCAGGTGGTTAATCTGTTGTCATCTTATCTAGACTTGTATGCCTGGTAGTAAAAACAAAAGCTAAAACAGAAAAGGAAAGTAAAATGACTCGTGCTTTTTAATAATATCATAGGATTTGTCCTTCCATGGATTAGTTGTAAATATGGAACACCTGATCTGTAGATCATCTAATGTGATACAACATGATTTTTATATAATGCACTAAAGCACTCACTTTCTAACTCTCTAAATTGATTTAGGCATATCAGTTCTATATTTGAGCACTGTTGACAATCTAAATTATTTAAATTTCAGTATTGAAAGTTTCTTCCTTGAAAGATTCAATTCGAGTTCATTGTCTGTTCTTGAGTTAAGGTCTTAGATTGCCATCAAACCAGCCAAGAAACCGTATTTCCACTTACAATTTGGTTTTTATGAGTTCTTCCTCGAAGGTGAGAGTTCCCTCTTGTCTTTGTGGAATATTAATGACTTGTTATAGAAGTGTAAGCCAAAAAGTTCCATTTTCTCCTTCAAAAGAAAAACATAAGCCAAATAGAGTTACATTTCCTGAAATTTCTTTGATGTGTCCTCGTATTAAAAGATAAGCAGCTAGTTTGTTTTTTATGTTTTTATATTGCAAGGTAGCTTCATTGCTTTGACTGAACTGTTTGGAAATTCGGGGGATTAGTGGGTTTGTCCTCCAATTATTGAGCTTTTCTTCTTTGCCCGTTTGAGTGCTTTTGTGAAGGTTTAGGTGTATAAACATTGTGGAGACGTGTCCTCTTTGTTAGTTGATGGATTTCATGATAGGAGCATAGCACCAATTTTTCTTTCAGCATATCCAACTTGCTTGTCTTCTGTTGGATAGATTGGTTTATGTGGCGTTACTGTTGGTAAAGGGGCTTGGTTTCTTTCAAGAATTACATTATCTGTGATGCAAAGAGATTGAGAGGCTCTATTGTGTTCATGTCTCTCTTATTTCTCGTCTTCATAATTTTTTTTTTGTTAGTAGGATATGTTATTCTCCCATTGTTGTGCTCTCTCTCTCGGTAATTTCTTTTTCTATAAAAAGATATCTGATATGAAAAGACAACATTTTCTTGAAGTGTTTCTCGTTTTTTATTCGCAGAAGGATTAGACCACCGATGAATAGACCTCTTTTATTGTCACTTTTCTTTCTTGGATTAACGGGGTAAGTTGTGATCTTATAAGCTACTTTAAGTATCTGATTATTTTACTTATGTTTACCATGATTGGTCAAAAATCCTGCTTATCAGTCTAATTTTGTTTGAAATCTGAGTAGGATATTTGGCAACCAACTTCTATTTCTCATTGGTCTAAGCTACACAAATCCAACATATGCTGCTGCCATACAGCCATCAATTCCAGTCTTTACATTTCTCCTGGCTGTAATGATGGGGTGAGTATGATTATTTATTTTTATCTTTAATTTAGCTGATGCTTTGTCTTATCTTTAATATCGTAGAAATGTATATACGTAGAAATGTAAATACATTAGGGGGTAGATTAGTATTTTATTAGGTTGTTATGACAGTTGGGAAATGCCCACTACCATTGCACCCCGTTAGGCTGTTAGAATATTTTCTATAATCTCTTTTGTTTGTTCTGGCTGAATGCCTATAAATTGGCACATTTGTGCCCAATAATAATAACAGAAGATTCTCCTCTTCTCTCAAACTGTCAATCTTCTTCATGGTATCAGAGCTAGTCTGATCCACATTCATCATCCAAATCAAGCCAAATGGCCACATATGAGCAAACCTCATCTCCACCTGAAGTTCTTTCACGATCCTATCTTTCAATGCCAGTCAACAACTCTCACGTGATCAGGCACCCTCGTTCGTCACTGGACATAGGTTGAGTGGAAGCAATTATCTCCAATGGTCCTCCTCTGTTTTGATGTTCATTCGCGGAAAGGGAAGAGACGAGTACCTAACTGAAGAAATCGTTCCACCTCCAGCAAACGACCCGAACGCTCGTACGTGGAAAGTAAAAAATAATCTTGTAATGTCATGACTGGTGAATTCCATGACAACAGAAATTGGAGAAAACTTTCTGTTTTATGAGACCGCACACGATACTTGGGTTGCTGCTCGTGAGTTCTATTCCAACCGTGATAACACTTCAGCAATTTTTGAAATCGAAAGCCACCTTCATGACCTGCGACAGGGGCAGCTCTCTATCACTTAATACTACAACGCCTTCATCCGCAATTGGCAACAACCCGATGTCTTCGAAGAACATCAATAGAGCTGCCCTAACGATTCTATAATCTTCAAAACCATCACTGAACGAAAAAGGGTCTTCAAATTTTTGATGGGTCTCAACAAAAACCTTGATAAGATTCGTGGACGCATTTTGAGCACCAAACCGTTGCCGAGTCTCAGGGAAGCTTTCTCGAAAATCCGTCAAGAAGAGAGTAGGAAGAAAGTCATGATGGGAGAGTTTGGCCCAAACGCCGTGGAAATGGGTTCTGCACTTGCTGCTCAGAAGAAATCCTCTCTGGACGAATCCCAAAATAGTGCTCTTGCCTCTGAGCACACCTCTGCTTTTGTGGGTCGCGTTTTGGAAGCTAAAGAAAGAAATGAGAGATTGTGGTGTGAGTTTTGCAAAAAATCCGGTCATAATCGTGATAAATGCTGGAAATTACATGGCAAACTAGTTGAGAAAAAACATTCAAAGGCTGAGGGCAATATGGTAATTTATGAGGAATTATCCTCTGCCCCCACATCCACAGAAACAGCTCCCTTTAGTCCAGCTCAGATGGAGGTTCTCTTGCAAATGTTTTCTCAGAAAGGCCTACTTGGTAATGCTTCAGTTGCTCAGAAAGGTAATTGCTTACTCAGTTTATCTGCATATTCTATGAAAAGACAAATGTGATTATTGATTCAGGGGCATCCGACCATTTGACTGAGGATATTACACTCCTTCATCAGTACAATGAGTGTAAAGAAATTTTCTCTATTAAGACCACTGATGGAACAAATTCTTAAGTGGCAGGAATTGGCTCAACCTACATATCACCAAATTTGGTTATACATTTCGTCCTCTACGTACCAAATTTGGACTACAATCTACTATCTGTAAGCAAATTATGTAGACACTTGAACTGTGTGGTTAAATTTGTCAAAAGGTTATGTGTTTTTCAGGATTTGGACTCGGGGAAGATGATTGGCAGTGCTAAGAAGGAATCAGAACTTTATCTTCTACCAATCAAAACATCACCTTCAAATGGACAAACTACAAGTGCAGTATGTGCTAATTTCGTATTTGTAGAATGTTCTAATATTGAACAATCTATTATGTTACAGAATTATAGATTAGGACATCCAAACTTTATGTATTTGAAAAAACTATTTTCTGTTTTATTTAGAAATAAAAATCCAAATTCATTTTAATATGAAATGCGTTAGTTTTCTAAACATATTCGCAATTCATATCTCATTATTGCGTACAAACCCTCAAAATCCTTTGCATTGATCCATAATGATGTATGGGGATCGGCTTGGGTGAAAAACATTACTGGTACAAAATAATTTGTCTCCTTCATTGATGATCACTGTAGAATAACCTGAGTTTATCTAATAAAATAAAAATTTGACATTGATCAAATCTTTTAAAAATTCAATACTATCATTTAAACTCAATTTCAAATAAAAATACAAGTGTTAAAAACTGACAATGCCTGTGAATACTTTGCATCCAACTTAGGAAAGTACCTTACTGATTAAGGCATTGTCCATTAGAGTTCTTGTGCTTACACCCCTCAACAAAATGGTGTAGCAGAAAGAAAAAATAGACATCTTCTTGAAGTGTCTCGCTCACTCATGTTTACCACAAATGTTCCTAAATTTCTTTGGAGAAAGGCTATTCTCACTGTCACATACCTGATCAATAGGATGCCCTCCCGTATTTTTAAATTCAGAACACTTTATTATTCCCTTGTTCAAGCATTCTCAGAGTATCATATTTTCACACAATTCTTTTTAAAGTCTTTAGCTGTTCTGTTTATGCTCACATTCACACCCATCTCAGAAGGAAGCTAGATCCTAGAGCCCTTAAGTGTAATTTTGTCGGGTATTCATCCTCTCAGAAAGGTTACAAATGTTTTTGTCCAGTCACCTGCCTATAACACTATGGATGTCACATTTTTTGAGAACAAACGTTTTTACCTCATTCTCGATATTCAGGAGGAGACATCTGGTACTCAGGAATATCAATTGTAGGATGTGAACATACATCTATTACATGTTCCATTAACAACATTAGAAAAAGAACTCGTCTCTCAAACAACCAAAGAACTTGAACCTGAACCTATCACAGAGACTGATAGCACATTACCTGCAGTAAGTAAGTTGCGTATCTATACCTGGAGGAACAAAACTCAAAGTAAAGATAAAATACCTGAGTTAATTATGCACTATCATGATTCAACTCCTGGACCAAGCACCCAAAATAATACAGGTAATGAGATATCTAACTCAACTGATGATATTGGTTTACCTATTGCTTTACGAAAAGGTGTTCGCTCTTATTTAATGCATCCCATACAGGATTATGTCTCATATGACAAACTATCTTCAAAATATCAGACTCTTATGAGTAAGTTTGACAATATCCCTTTAGAACCGAGAACGGTTCATGAAACTCTCAAAATTCCTGAGTGGAATGTTGCTATCCAAGAAGAAATTTCAGCTCTTGAGAAAAACAGAACATGGGAGTTATCTGATCTACCTCCAAGGAAAACTCTAGTAGGACGCAAGTGGATCTTCACCACTAAATACAATCTTGATGATAGTATGAATCGCTACAAAGCACAACTTGTTGCTAAAGGGTTCACCTAGTCATATGAAATCGATTATTAAGAGATGTTTGTTGGAGTTGCCAAGTATAACGCAATTCGGGTACTATTCTCTTTAGCCTCTAATCTTGATTGACCTCTTTTCTAACTTGATGTGAAGAATGTTTTCCTTAATGGTGATCTAGAACAAGAAGTATATATGAAAGTTCTACCTGGATTTGAAATAAATTCATAAAAAGTATGCAAACTAAAAAAGACACTGTATGGTCTCAAATAGTCACCAAGGACATGGTTTGACAGATTCACCAGGGTAGTGAAGCATATGAAATATGAACAGTATCAATATGATCACACTCTATTCATCAAGCACTGTATCTTAGGAAAGAGAGCTGTACTAATCGTTTATGTCGATGATATTATACTGACAAGTGATCATAATGAAGAAATCCAGAAACTGAAACACTTTTTAGCAAAAGAATTTGAAATTAAATACCTTGGAATACTTGTGTATTTTCTTGAAATGGAAATCACTTGATCCAAGAAGGAAATTTCTATATCTTAGCGGAAATGCATCTTAGATCTTTTGAATGAGACAAGTATGGTTGGTTGTAAACTTGCAGAGACTCCTATGGAATCAAATGCTAAACTTGGCTCCAAAAGTGATAGCAAATCTGTTGATAAAAGGATGTATCCGTTGATAAAACTCATATATTTGGCTCACACGAGACCTGACATCTACTTTGTAGTAAGCTCTGTGAGTTAATTCATGTCTCAACCTATTAAGGAGCATATGAATGCTGTTTATCGTATCTTGAAGTACCTAAACATCTGGATAAAGATTATTTTTTCAGAAAATTATGGTCAGAGATATTGAAATCTACACTAATGCTGATTGGGCTGGTTCAGTAACTGATAGGAGATCTACATCCGGTTACTTTTCTTATGTATGGAGCAATCTAGTCACTTAGTGAAGTAAGAAACAAACTATTATGTCAAGAAATAATGTTGAAGCTGAATTACGATCTCTTACCTATGGAATATGTGAAGGAGTATGGCTGAAAAAGATTTTACTTGAATTAAGGTTCTCGGCTCCCACTACTATGAGAATTTGGTGTGACAATCTATCAACTATAAGCATGATCAAGAATCCTATGCACCACGATAGAACTAAACATATGTAAATTGATCGACACTTCATCAGAAAGAAAATTGAAAGTAAGAATATATCACTACAATACATCCCAACAAGTCAACAAACTGTAGACATTCTCACAAAAACACTACCAAAAAGAGAATTTAATAATTTTGTATCCAATATAGGATTACTTAACATTTATGTATCCTATATTGAGGGGGAGTGTAGAAATGTAAATACACTAAGGAGTAAATTAGTATTTTACTAGGTTGTTATGACAGCTGGGAAATGCCCACTACCATTGCACCCTATTAGGTTGTTAGAATATTTTTTATAATATCTTTTATTTATTCTGGCCGAATGCCTATAAATTAGCACCTTTGTGCCCAATAATAATAACAGAGGATTCTCCTCTTCTCCCAAACTCTCAATCTTCTTCAAACATAGTTGATGCTTTGTCTGTGTATCTATTATGCGTGCATCTATATTGGATTTTTGATGTTTGTTACTTTTGTTGCACCATGTTTTGTCTACTTCATGCAGTACAGAAAGAGTGAATTTGTTCAGAGCCGAAGGTCAAGCTAAGGTTGGAGGGACCCTTGTCTGTGTTTTTGGGGCCATATTGATGGTTCTGTTCCGTGGTCCAGTTTTGATTGGTTACCAGGATGCTGAGTTTTCAGCACATAATGAAATAAGTGCCAAGGGTCAACCAGAACCCACTGGATGGTTTATGTCTACTTTTCTAGAGCTTGGATTGGAGCATTGGCATATTGGGGTTTTATGCTTAATTGGGAACTGCATGTGCATGGCTGCTTTTCTAGCCATCCAGGTATGTAATTGTGTGATTCATTGGATTATTTTTAGGCACGACTTCTTTTCAGAGTTACAATCTACAATTAGAATTATTTCAATGCTGAGGCAGTGCTTCCCTTTGCAGTGTGACAATTTCTATTTTAAGTGTGTCTCTCTCATTTAGTATAGGATTGTTGATGGAATGATTGTGTTATGTTCTTTTGATGAAATATAGAAAGTTAAATACTGACATATATGGAACTGTTTTTTTTAAATAAAAAGTATAAGTGTATTTATTAACTATAGGCACCAAGAGAATACCAACCTGTGTAAAAAATATTTGTACATCCATAAGGGTTTCAGTAAGTTTACCAAAGTCCTCAATAGAGAAAAACAAATTACTGATAACCAGACAACCCAAAATGTGATACCACCTATCTCTAACCCTATCAGCCTCCTCCTCCACTCTCTTAAAAGCCCTTCTATTTTTTTCTTTCCATGCCACCCAGAAGATTGTAAGAGAATGAAATCCAAATGTTTTTTCCTACCGCTAGCTCCCTTCCAAGCTCATAACTCATCCTTTACACTGCCCGCCATTATCCAATAAACACCAAAAAACTTTCTTATCAACTCGGTCACAAAAGAACACTGAAGTAGAATATGATCGCGTGTCTCCTCTGCCTTCTTACGAAGGTAACAACCTTTGACCATGATCTTGCCTCTTCTTATCAACTTATTTATGGTCAATATACTTCCACGGCCTACTTCCCATGCAAAAAATGTAATTCTAGGTTGAGAATTCACTTCCCAAATTTGTGTAAATGGGAATTTATCCTCCTCAATGGAATTCTTAACCAAGTATTTGTAGAAAGACACAACCGAAAGGACCCATTTGAAGTGAGAGTCCAAATAGGTTGATCGTCCCTTTCCTCCAGAGCTACAGGCATCAAAGATCCCAACAGCAACTTGTAATCGTAGAACTCCCAGCCATTAAGACTCCTTAGAACTTCTGTGTGCCACTCCCTCCTACCACCAAGTTCTCTTGTTGCTTCCTTTACTATAATGATCTTGAACCATGTGATAGCATAAATTTATGGAAATCTCTCCTACAGTGATTCCTCATTGAGCCAAGGATCTGTTGATAAACTAGTTCTCTCCCCATTACTTGCCCTCCATCTAATGCACCTGCTGAAAACTTCCTCCTCCCCTGCAGATTTTCTTCCACGCACCTGTCTTATGTGGTCTTGTCACTTCTTCATGTGGACTTCTTTTTTTTTTTTTTTTCTGGTACTGCTTGAAACCTTTAATAGATTCTCTGTTGAGAGATTGGATATGATGAGATGCTGCATATGATTTTGAGGGATTGCACAAACGTATCATAATTTGCACCGGAATTATGCCGGAAATTAGCCCTTGCATTCCAGGAAGTTGATGAAGTTAGTCTCTTTAGATCCATGATTTTACTTGCTCGAATTAAATGATGTTGGCAAATGGACGGCTTGATGAAAATCAAAGTTGTAACATAGTTACAGGAGTTGCTGGGTCAGAACACAATTACCGTGAGATTACAGAGGCTTGTACTGCTTTAGAAATCCTTTATATAAACCTTCTTATCTTGTAGCTAACTGTATGATTAAACATGTCTCAACTGCAAAACAGAATTTTCATCTTTATTTATTTATTTATTTTTTGAAATAAAAGAAAATTCGAATTAAAAGGTACCAACGGAGTACCACCCATAAACAAAAAGATGTTTCATCTTTATATAATCTACCCCACAGGTCAGAGGCCATTATGCATGCTAATCACTGAAAACTTTCTCATGTACTTCACATATACATACTTCTCTCAGGAAGCAAAATGAAAATTTGTTCTAGGTTAACCATATGCTCTCATTTATTCTACCTCTGTCAGTACTACAAGAGCCATATTTGTGGTTTGTAATTTTCTGATATTCTTGTGCTACTGCAGGAAGGAGTTTGTTCTTTCCCTCTCTCTCTCTCTCTTAAGAATTTTCATTAATTGAAAGACTAATTTACAACTTAACCCATATGTATTTCAATCATCTACAAGAAACCTTGAGGAGCTTTTCATTTTACTCAACACCTATGAGCTTGTACCATTTAGGTGGGATATTCTTGCTGATAAAATGATGAATTTTTCCTAGGTTTTTTTTGAAGTAACAAATTTGTTCTAGGTTAACCCTATGCTGTCAATGTTTCTACCTCTGTCACTACTACAAGAGAGCCATATTAGTAGTTTGTCATTTTCTGACATTCTTGTACCAATGGACGAAAGAATTTGTTCTTTCTTTTTCTCTATCTATTATAAGAATTTTCAGTAATTGAAAGACTAATTTACAACTTATCGCTTACGTATAGCAGTTATCTACAAGAAACCTTGAGGTGCTTTTCGTTTTACTTGACACCCTATGAGCTTTTACCATTTAGGTTGGATATTCTTGTCAATGAAATGACCACGGTACCTCCGTAAAATTTTTAATGACTTTCTTGTAATTTTCAAATTGATAAAGAAATCGAGTGGCTGAAGACACTTCACTGGTTTAAATTGAAATTTGATGGTATGACGATCCAAAGCAATGGTGTGTTCCATGCAGAAGTTATTCCTTTCAAGTCTGTGAAACTGCTTAGGTCCAATTAAGTCAAATTTGTTTGTTTGGGTAAGAAGGCTGTCTACCTGAGAAGAAAGCACCGCTAAGTATAAGATGCATTCTGATGGGTTTTCAGGTGGTTTCTGAGCTTAATATCAACCTCACAAAATTAGAACTTGTCAGGCTTGGAGGGTGGACAGGAAGGACTGGCTAGAGTTCTGAGGTGTAATGTGACCAAGCTGCCCATCAAATATCTGTGCATGCCTTTGGGAGCTAATTATAAGGACTCCAGGACTTGGGAACCAGTGATAAATAGATTTGAGCAGAGACTTGTTGGGTGGAAAAAGAGCTTACTGTCAAAAGGAGGAAGACTTACTCTTATATGGAGCACTTTATGTAACTTACCTATTTATTACTTGTCAATTTTAACTATCCCAAGCAGTGTTGCCAAGAAATTGGAGTCTATACAATGTAGATTTTTATGGGGAGATATGATAGACAAAAGAAAGTTTCACCTGGTTGCTTGGAATGAATTGAAGAAACCCATTTCCCATGGCGGGTTGGGCATTCTGTTGATGATTGAAATGAATGCAGCATTACAAGGAAAATGGTTTTGCCGATTCATGAATGAGGAGAATGTTTTATGGAGAAGAGTCATTGCTTCAAAATTTGGGGTGGAAGAGAGAGGATGGCTCACTTGTGGGAGTGTGCGCTCCCATAACAAAAGTTTATGGAAAAAGATTGAGGATGATAATGAGAGGTTTCGAAGATATATTTGCTGGAAAGTAGGAAGGGGAAACAGAATCAGATTCTGGGAAGATCAATGGGTGGAAGGAGGCTTGCTTAAAGATAAATTCCCACAGATTTATGATATTGCCCAGAATAAGTGAATGAGCGTCAGTGACTATTTTGTGAGTAATGCTGATGGTGGTGAGGTGTGGCAGGTGTTGGTGCTAAGAAATCTGAATGATTGGGAGCTTAATGAGTATGAGAAGCTGATGAGAGCTCTATCACTTGTATCCCCTGGTAATAATATTGATACACCTTGACGGACACTCACCAAAACTGGGTTCTTCATGGTTAAATCTCGGTACAAAGGGCTTTTACCGAGTGAGGATAATGTTGGTCCATTCCCGTATAAACAAATCTGGAAGGTCAAAATTCCACCTTGGATTTCTTTTTTGCTTGGGAAGCTAGTTGGGAGTGCATTCTAACGATTGTTAAACTCAGGAGAAAGGGTTTGGTTCTGGTTAAGGCATGCTACTTCCGCAAGGAGGCAGAGGAGAGTTGCAACCACCTTTTATTGTGGTGTCCTTTGGTATATTTGTTATGAACCATGGTGTATAATTCGATCAAGATTAGTTGGGTGATGACAGGGTCAGTTAAGGAAGAGTTATGGACTTGGGAGTACATTAAAGACATGTATCTTTGTGGATCTGATTCCGCTCACACTTTTTGGACTGTTTGGAAGGAAATAAATAGAAGGGCATTTGGTTGCAAAAAGTTTTGATGTTCTTAAAAATATATGGTTTAGGACCCTAGAATTTTTATTAATGGGTCATCCTCCTATGTTTTATGAGGCTCTTAGAGTCCTGTTTTGTGTGGACTGAACTGTATATAATTGTACATGGTTTGCACCCCTTGGTGCTTATATGAATATACATCTACACTTTTTATTTTAAAAAAAGAGCAATCAAACTCTTAAATGTGATGTTTAAAACTTCTTACATGCGTGCTTAAGAAACCCTACATATGATCAACCCTATTTGTCCTACATCAACTATTTAAGATGATGCCTTTACTCAATGTTTCTGGAAGGTTCCTGCTCTATGAAAATTTGGACTAAAATTAAGGCTTTTGTTTGGACTGCAGTCCTGAATAGCTGGAATACTAATTATTCCAAGCTCGCAGGTCAAATCATGCATTGTCCTAGGGATGTGTGTGATGTATTTCAGAGTTGCTGAGTCTCACAATCTTTTTTTCCTATGTTTTGATATGGTTTTGAGACTTTGGGCACCCATATTTGACACCTTCAATGTGGGTTTATCTATGAATCTTTGGAGTTCTTATTTCTTCTTCACTCCAAGGAGTTGTTAGAAGGAAACATAACCAATTGTTGAGCCAGGGACTTTATTTTCTAGGTTGTGATTATTATGGTTTGAGAAAAATGCCAAGATCTTAAAGAATAATTTGTTCATCAGGATGACTCTTTTGGTGTCTCTTTGGGTAAGAAAATTGGGCTCTTTAAATATGTTTATTTACTTTGCATTGAAAATTGCGAGCTATCTTTTATTGAGTTTCTCTGGTTTTTCTCTTTTTATTTTGGTTGTTTTCTTTTTGGGGGTTTGCTGATAGGACAACAAGTTCTAATCTGATGTAACTCTCCTTCTATTTTTAATAATACTTATATTAAAAAAAATGTATTTTATATTAATCCGTAGGTTATTAACCTCAATTTTGAAATGAAGGTGATTAATCGATTTATTTCTGAGAGTTTAGTTCCAAGGACACTCAATTAACAAAATTAAAATTTGCAAAAGCATTTTTTTGTCTGTTGAGATAAATAATTTTGGGATTGCCTTCAAGTCCATGGGCAGAGACCCCCTCCAAGATGCCTTTTCATGAGCTATCTTTGTCTTCTAAAAAACTCTCTTGGACACTGTTTGTTTGATCACCATGATTTGAGGTGAACCTTGGAACCATTGATGTTATTGCAATACTTCTCTACTATCTTGGAGGATGGTGTTTTAGGAATGTTCTTTGCTTTGTGGTTGTGCTATGAAAAATATTTCTCTGTTACATGTACACTGACCTTAACAATTGAAATCTTTTTATTTCTGGCCCTCAATTTTTTTCCCCTTCTATACATGAATTGCTGTTTGTCTGTCTCAGACTCACTATGTAAATGATTGTCATACTGGATTATGAAGGTTTGCACATTGTGCATTTATACAATTTGCCAACTAGCTGTATTATTGGTGATAGACCTATTAAATTAGAGTTCAATTTGTATTTGGTGGTGGCTCAATTCATTGTTGTGAAAAACTTCCAGGCTCCAGTTTTGAAGAAGTATCCTGCAAATCTTTCCGTCACAGCATATTCATACTTTTTTGGTGCTTTCTTGATGGTAACAACAGCTTTCTTTATGACCAATGACTCAACAGACTGGCATTTGGCACAATCCGAGCTTTTTGCAGTCATCTATGCTGTAAGTTTCTGACTTCAAATATCTGGAGACTAAGTTATGCATGTGACTTCATTTCTAGTTCTAATTGCTGAAGTGACCACTTGCTATCTATAGAAGGTCGTTTAATGGGTTCTAATATTATGGATGCATCTTTGATCCACTTTGTTTATGTAGGATAGGAATTTCAGGTAACATTGATTAGGACAGAAAAATTGGTTTGGGAGAAAGCAGAAGAAATTAGAGAGAAAAAAGGGAAGCAAGTAGAGGAAATACCTAGAAACAAAGAAGAATAGGGGATGAGCATGCAAGACAGAGGGGCTCATGAGTAGGGAGTTGGCAAGAAAAGAGATAACTCAATAAATGAGAAGAGAGAGGAGAGGCATGAAAATTGTGGTCATCCATTAATTAGGGGTAATTTTGTTAAATTCGTTTCTTTTATCAATATGACATCACGACCTTAACCTGTTACTAAATGAAGGTATTTATATGATCAACTTGAGAATAAATTATAGAGAAATGGTTGGGCTTTGGACCTAATTACAACTAGGTCATTAGTTTGAAAAAATTATTATGTAGTCCCTATACTTTAAACAAACACAACAATTCATTTGAATGAAGTATTAGAACCACATTTTTCTTTTTTTTTTTTTTTTTGTTGGAACAATTTTGAACCATTGGTAAGACATAAATGTCTTTCTTTTTCCAAGATGACACTAGACTATTCTTCTAGGAAAGAAAATGCATGAAATCTTAGAAAATTTTGAAGAATTTTGACCAAATTTAAAAAGAAAGTTTGGAGAAATTGCAATTAGAAAGTTTGATTAACCAAACTCTCTCCAGTTTTGGTGAATTTCTTTTTATTTTCTTTAGGATTTTTTGTTTTATCTTTTTTACAAAAGTTTTTGGTGTCCCAGAAAAAAACTGATACTTATTTGACAGTGGTTTTAACAGTCTATAATTAGCTTATTGAATTGAATAGTAATTTTTTTCACAATACATCTATATACTTTTATTTAAAATTATGACTAATGACTTACCTATATATTTATATAAATAGTTACGTAAAATATATAAACAAAAATGAGTGTAATAAAAGGAAGAAAAATTTCCCTAGGCCAAACAATATGTAAAATTTCTTTCTTTTTTTTGTGAGAAACATGATGTAAAATTGGAAACTAGATAAAGTTTTGAAAATTCTTTTACATAATCTGATAATTCAAATAATATGTAAAAATATTAAAATTAAATTAACATTATAAAAATATATTTCTCTAATGTCAAAGATATTCTGGTTTACTTTTTCTGATTTCTTTTTCCTTTTATTGGCCTATTTTTCTTCCATGCTTAATGCTAAAGCTTTTACTTCCAAATTGTACAAGACTTTGTTGTTACAAGGTGTTAAATATGATGCACGAGAATTAATGGTAGAACCATGAGTATCCGAAGATGTAGAGAAATAGAGAAAAATACAAGAGAATGGAAGAGTAGATAGATAATGGGAAAAGGGGAATAAAGGTGAGAAGTTTGAGAGGAAAAAGGATATTAGGCAGTGTAAAGTAATTTGACTAGAAAGTTATAAATTTTAAGCTTAAGATAAGTTATTGATTAGAAGCTTTTGTAAAATTATATAAATTTTAATTTTAACTAAAAAAAAACAACTTACAAGAAAAGAAATCTAAAGTTTTTAACAATTCTCAAATAATTAAAATAATCCAAATATCCTAAAAGGTTTTATTTTTACTACATAGAAAAATAAGAAAATACCTCTTATAATGTACTATGATTAGCTTTCTTATTTAAGCGTTTAGATGGTTCTGCATCAAGGAAAGGTTGTACCAGAGTAAAGATGGAGATGCTGAAGTCCTATCTTTAAATATTATAACATTAAAAAAATTAAAATTTGGGAAAGAATACCATGTTGTAGTTTAGAGATTTCCATCGGATCATCTGATCCCAAGTTCTGTAGGGTAATTCATTACAGTCTGCAGTTACTGTGTTAGAATTCATTGCAGTAGGAGATAACTTGAAGACTCACTTGGGCATAAAATGCATGAAGAACTTATTTTCTGTTCCAAATTGGAGAAAAAGGGATCCATGTAGCTTATTCCAAGTGGTTTTAGAATATGGCTTATTTGAAGATGATAATCCAAATGGCTTAGAATTTCTCAATTTGGAGAAACTTCTATTTGATTTTGCTCTCAATAGAGGAAATTGATTTTCGTTAAACTTTTTTCTAACAGGGAATTGTTGCTTCTGCCCTTAATTATGGTCTCCTGACTTGGTCCAATAAGATCCTGGGACCTTCTTTGGTTGCTCTTTATAATCCGCTTCAGCCAGCAGCATCAGCCATTCTGTCAAGAATTTTCCTTGGAAGCCCAGTATATTTGGGGAGGTCTAACTCTGTCCCATCCATAGTTATACTACTACCTTGTGCAATTTAATTTCTTGTTGGTTGATCAATTTCTTTATAGATTTTTTGCAATTCATTCTGTACATATATAGGTGTTTTTTTTTGGGACATTCA